TTACACAGAGTCTTATGCCACAGCAAAACATAGGGATCCCAGTTTCAATGTGGCTCAGTGTGAATCATGTTTCTATAACACGTGGCTTCATGGCCTTCAAAAAGTTACCTTCTCTCTCCATTTGTCTTCTCTTTCTCCATCAGTTTACCAAGAAGCTTTCCTTCATGAGCTAATGTGAGGGGGAAATGTGGTACCACAAGTAAAGGGATAGATGGAATGCCTGGTGAGAGCTCAGCTGTCTGTGGTGTTCCTCTCAAGCGCCTCTTCCTAAACTTCCTTGGTCATCTGGGAAGAGAGACATGCCCCCCCCATACTGGCCCACGGGCAAGGCTATTGGGCATTTCTTTGATTAATGATTAATGTAACAGGGCCCAGCCCATTGGGGGTGGTACTACTCCTGGGCAAATGGTCCAGAGTTAATAGGAAAGCAGGTTGGTCAAGCCACGAGGAGTATGTCAGTAATCTGTGTTCTTCCATGGCCTCTGCTTCAGTCCTTACCTCTGGGTTCCTGCCTTAACTTCCTGCCCTGACTTCCTTCTACGTTGAACTGTGATGCGGAACTGTTCGCTGAAATAAATTCCTTCTTCCCCAAGGTGCTTTTGTTCATGGTGTCCGGTCACAGCAATAGAAACCCTAACTAGGACAGCCAATCAGTTATGGTCTAAGGTAGGAAAGAGAGCTCGGTAGTCCCAGCATCCCACCAAACATCGTACTGGGCAAGGTAACCTTCATTTTCTCATTTCAGTTGCCCTGTCTATAAAATGGTGACCTCAAAGGAGTGGTAGGAAGATAATACTCATGAGTAAAGAGCTCTATTCACCAAAAGGCATTGAACATATGTTAACTGTTAGGCTTAAACATTTCCATTCTGGTGGTAGATAATTGTTATGCTCCCCTTTATAGTGCATATTCATTTATGGAATGAAACCGATACAAGATTCATTTGAGACATAAAAATAAACAATAAATGTAACTTGCTATTACATGCTTCTATTTTAATAGAATTTTAGTTAAAAAATCAAAAGTTCATAACTAAGAAGGAACAGAGGAGAAAAATGTTTATGAGATTTTTTATACACCTTAAATTGATTTTTAATTAATTAACAAAGGAGAGTATGCATATTTTATCTCCTACCATAATTTAAAAGTGTTTTCTCCTTTGCATTCTAATTCCATGTTATGATGCCAATCTTTACTTTAGAAAAAATATGGAAAATTCCATTTTTGTGGTATGAGTTATCCCCAACCTATGGTATGAGGAGCTATAGTCCTCAGGACTCATAGAAAACTCCCCCTCTCTCTTTTAATGGGAGGGGAAATCTCATTATGTAGTTCTAGCTGGATGGAACTCACTGTGTGGGGTGACCTTGAACTCACAGAGATCCATCTGCCTCTGCCTCTGTAGTACTAATGATTAAAGACATGCTGTATGACATGAAGCCTCTTATGTCATATTGTATGTTTGAAAAGTAGTCCTTTGTTAAGATAATGACGCACCAGGTGGTGGTGGCCCATGCTTTTAATCCCAGGACTAGGGATGTAGAGGCAGGTAGATCTCTGTGAGTTTGTGGCCAGACTGGTATATAGTCCAAGTTATAGGAAAGTCAGGGCTATTACACAGAGAAGCCATGTCTCCAAAAACAAAACAAAACAAACAAACAAAAAGATGCTGCACCGTGAAAAGCTCTAGCCTGCCCAGGATTACCATCAGCAGTACGTTTTGCTTAGCCTGAGCACTGGGAGGTCTAACGAACTCTACCATCTAGTGTCTGCCCCTCACTCAGAATGGCTTCTCCTATTGTCTTCCTGTCTTCATCTTTTCAGGTGTTTAGGCTAACCACCCCACAGGCCATTTCTGATTTCTCTCCTTCTCAGGCCTCATCAGATGCCTCTGCAAAGCTTACTAACTCTATCTTTAGAACATTCTTGGAGTTCAAGAACTTCTCAGAGCCTCTACTGACCCTTACCCCCAGGTTAGTGCATGGACAACTCTCATCTGGATGACTGCCATAGCACCCCACCATACTCTGCCCAGTCCTGCTTCCTCAATTTTATCTATTGGTCCCTAGCTTTTGTTGTTTTGGGTTTCCACTCCCACCAGAATGAAAGTTCTTATCTGTTTCATTTGCCTTGGTCCTGTCTAGAATGGGGGGTGGCATGCATAAGACATTCACCGTGTCCTTCTTTTGGTCCTCCCCTGGCAACCTATTTCAACCAAGCCCTCCATGATTTTCTCACGATATCTGGGCTCTAGGAGGCACACCTCTGCTCACAGTCTCTCTTGCAGGAAACGTCCAAGTCCTGACCCTAGCCTACAAGCTTCCTGCTCCCAAGGCCCTACTCCATTCCCATACCTCTCCAACTTTGCCTCAGATCCTCTCCTCTCACTGACCTCCCCTTCCTCACCCATGCCAGCCTGCTTTGGTTGGTCCCTCTCCCTGCCAGTCATCGGATCGCACTCCATCAGGGTCTTTCTCTGACGTCCAAGTCAAAGGGCTGGGAGGACTTGTTCCCCACTTGCATGTTGTCCTACCCCTACTGCTCCTCGTTCATAGATGCTTCATGGATTTGCACCAGTAGGGATGGATCACTGTCTTACATCCCCTGCCTTTCATACTGACTGTGCTGCTTGTTCTGTCTCTTCCTATTTGGAACTTTTATCCCTTGTTCTAGGTGCTGAAGCCTAGCACTTAGAAGGGTTTTTGGCACACGGCTGATGCTCAGTAGCGTGAATGGAGAAGTGGTTTTCTTTCAGTGGTCATGGGTATGTACCCACACCACCAGCATATCAGTGAGGGTGGAACACATTGGGTGAACTGTTCTCACACCTCAAGGATCCTGTCTGCCATGTTCTAAACAGTTGCACACAGCATATATAACCAATGGTTCTGTACACATGCAAAAATGTGGAAGCCACTTTTAAGGGAAGAAGACAGCTTTCTCCTCACTCCTACTTTCCTGATTTCTAAGGGGATGGAAGCAGATTTTTCCCATTAAAATATATTTGTTTTATAGGGAATTTCTTCCCAGATCTGCCTTGTCCATGTTTTTTGGCCATGCTGAAAAGTTTTGTATTAGTGCCAGAGGCGACACATACTCTGCTCTAGGCTGGCATCCATTTGTACTTCATTATTAGATGATATTAAAAATACTGCTTTGGACTTTTGTCTGTGGCAAAGCTTGCCTATTATCCTACTCCCTCCCAAGAACCTGCTGTGAGTGGGCAGAGGAGTTAATGCTATTCTGTTCAAGAGGGAGTTGAGGCCTCCCAAAAGTTGGTAATAGAGGAGACCTTTGACTTGATCTCCTGTTTTATTTTTTTTTTAACTGGAAAAAAATCTTATTTTATTGCAAGCAATCCTAAACCGCTAAATAGAAAAGTGTCCGCTGCTATTCTTTGTAACAGTTTGGACACACTATTGGGACGTTGAACATTATATTTAACACCCTGCTTGACACCTCCTCCTGCTGCACAGCCTGCCTGATGCCTATCCCTGTTGCAACTGAACTCTAGTAAGCTGCTAAGGAGAAACAGAGCAAACCATCCTGCACTTTTAGTTTCTTGAAAGCACATGATTTAAAAAAGTGTAATTTCCCTTAGATTCATCCATTAGTTATACTAATTTTTGACCCTTTTCTCAGCTTGCTTCTGAGATGTGCCAACAGCTCACAGCTAAACAGCTTCCTTCCCACGTCAATGGATACCGGTTCTCTCCATTGCTGATAGTGCTGGACTGAACTATCTCTTACCAAATAGGTCTATCTCCCCAATTGCCTCTGGATCCTCAGTCTTTCTGCTGAAGAATTCATACACAATGCAGTCTGCTTACCCAAATAAATACTAGATAATACTTACATAAATATTAGATAATGCAAAGTTCACTCTCTGATCTATGTCCAAGAGAGATGCAAGTCACTTTAGAGTCACTGTCCCCAGAACCAATTCCTGCGACTGTGATCTAAGCAGAGAAGTCTTTCCTTTTGGGCTCTTTCTCTCCTGCATCCAATGCCGTTAATTACAATATTGAATGTAAGAAAGCCAAGAGGCCTTCCTATTTAAATGCTTGTTTATTGTTACAAAACACCTCTCCACCTGTTCCCTTTCATTCACTTGTTATTACTGCTTTTCAAGTTCCTGGCCTTAACACTTCCCATCCTAACTGATCTTACATATTTTTCTCATTTCTACTTCCTTCAGAGGCACAAGCACCACCACCACCCCTGGGCTCTCCCCAGGGGCACTGCTACTGCTCCCGTTCCTACACCTTCATTCTCTCCAAAGGATTAAGGAAGGTTCCATCATACCACCTTTCAAGGCTAAGCTTCCAGGTCACCTGGAAACTCCAGCCACCACCCTTTCTGCCATCATTGCAGCCATGAATAAAGGCCATATTTGTGTGTTCACACCTGTCATAGGCCCTGCATCTCCAAAATACCAAGAAATATGTGGAGAATTGCTCACTGCTGAGTTCATCAGTCACTCCTATCGTATAAATGGATTTCAGAATCTTCTATTTGATGATTAAATACTCCCAGACTGTTGAGAGAAAAGTCAAAAGGTTCTCTCTCTCCATTCAGCTTTACTCTCTATTTCCTTGTCTTTTCAACTCCCCTCCCCCACGCAGCTCCTGTGACTTCTGGATCTCACTTTTTTTTAAACCAGGCTCTTAGACCACTATGGGAATAGAATTCTATGCAAACCACTCCAGGAATACACAAAATTTAATAGTTTGTATCTTGTTCTCAGCCCTCAGCATGTAGTTACAGCATCTTAATCTACCATCTACATCCAATTATTTCCATATCTGATGTAGTTTGAAAGTACATGGGAGTGGTATTCACTGTGACTTGGGTCTGGACTCTGCCAGCTCATGCTGTAGATATAAGGGTAGGATCTGTGCCTATCGCTAAAGCTTGCACAGCAAGGGACACGGTTTAGGTGTGAACTCAGGTGCACAGAGCATGATAAGTAACCGGCGCCTTGTCTCAGTCATACTTACTTGGTGAGGTGGGGGAGGCTGCACCTCCTTCTGTTGATGTGGTTGGAGGCTTGGTGTCTGGCATGGGCAGAGGCACAGGCCTGGCCATTGGTGGTGGCGGCGGTGGCGGCAACATTGGGGTGGGGAGGAATGGGTTGTGCACCTTGCCTTGACTGCTTCCATTGGGCTACAAGGATTCAGAGAAAACACACACAAGAAAAAGAATAAACAGATGTTAGCCAATAGTTGCTTCTGCAAAACAAAGATTCATCAGGTGCCTGTCATGCAAATCACTAATATTCAGGCTGTTGGAAGCACATTGATCATTTTGTTACCCACAGTGTCGCATCTGGGAGCACTCTGGACATCTGGGAGCACTCTGGACTTGTCTGTCCATTGATCATTTTGTTACCCACAGTGTCACATCTGGGAGCACTCTGGACTTGTCTGTCCCTTGATCATTTTGTTACCCACAGTGTCGCATCTGGGAGCACTCTGGACATCTGGGAGCACTCTGGACATCTGGGAGCACTCTGGACATCTGGGAGCACTCTGGACATCTGGGAGCACTCTGGACATCTGGGAGCACTCTGGACATCTGGGAGCACTCTGGACTTGTCTGTCCCTGAATAACCAATAGCTGCTGCTTCCACCAAGACTTTTATAAAATGCTTGTTTAATACCTACATACATATTAGATTGAGGTATTATTCTTCCATGTGTATTTACATAGGTAAATCAGTGATCACTAAATATGTATATAAGATATATAAAACTATACTTTGTTTTCATTTCTTAAAGTTGATCTTGTAAGACAGTTAATAAGTATATTCAATGAACATAGATATTTTCTTTTGCATATCATATAGCACCAGGCATGGGAACTTTAATATTTAGCTATCAGATGTCTATTAGGCAAAAACAGCACTTCTAATTTGACTTATTCCAGCAAATGCCATGGGACTCAGACTTCTGGTTGCCTGAGGCGAGAACAGCCAAAGACCAACTTTCTAACAAAAGCAAGTTTCCCTCAGAAGAGAGCATGCAACGTTTACTTTCAAGGTCTTCAAAAAAAGCTTCATGGAGAGGCTTGTCTCAAAGCCTGTAAAAATGTGATCAAAACACAAAACAGCGCATTTGATAGTTACATAAGATGATGTCATGACTACTAAAAAGATCACGTTAGATGTTCAGAAGTCAGACGTGGTGCCAGTGGTCAGTTCAGGTTTTCATGATTTCCTGAGTGGCTTTTCATAATGAGTTATAGCCAGCAATAGTCTGTATGTAGACAGCAGCCCCAAACCAAAATTCAGCCAAAGGAGATCCCATTGTCCTGGACTTTCAGGAATAAACATAATACTTCTGCAGGGGCAGGCTCACTCCTTCATCAGCACTTGTGATATTTTTAGTGCTTTTTCTCTGATACTGGCTGGTGGTCAGAAGGCTGCACACTCTCACCAGCATCCTTGCCTTTATAATTTCTGTGTGGACCAAAAGCCCATAAGTGAATATTTTAGAATAAGTCAAGCAGATGAACACACAAGCAAAATAAAAAAGACACCATATTGATTTGTTGTCTAGACAGAAATGTATCTGTGAACAGATCACCAGACATTAGTCAAAGCTGCCCATTCTGGCTCAGACCTGCAGAATCAGGTATTTCTGCAGGAGAGAATGTCTAACGACAGAGCAGTGTGACATAACATCCTGAACCAGGCAATAAGAATTATGGCTAATCTGTGGTTTCAGGCATAGATATTATGAGAAAAGGAAATCAAATATGGCTTTCTGCTGGTCTTAATTTATTATTATTATTGTGATTGGCCTTGGGATACAGCTATTCATTGTAAACATACAGCTTTATATTTGTAATAAAATTTGCGATTTTATAAAATAACTTTACTATTAGAATGTTATTTCACATTGTGATTATTTAGTTTATTTGAGAAAAATGAAAACATTCATTTGTAGTTATTGAATATGGCTTAGTTTTATATGAAGATAAGTGGAAAAGATAACTACTCGCAGAAATAACAAACCATAATAAACTCTGCTTCTAGCATCTTGAGTTCAAGTACTGGTCAACTTGATCTAAAGTGTTAGAAGACTGTATTTAAAAAAAATCAGCTTGGTTGATCTGAAACATCTGTCCCTCTCTGCTCCCCACCTCTCTCTGCTACCCCAAATCATTACTTAAAATTATTCAGTCTATTTTGTTAACTGTATGATCCCGGGGTTAGAATGCAGGAGGTGGAACTCAGAAGGTTACACAGTTCACTCTCCAGACAATTTATATCCATAAGCTTGACAGCTGCAAACTTAACACAAACACTGTTTTTAAACCCTGGCCAATCACTCTTACAGCAAGTTAACTTTTCCACAATCTAGAATAAATATGACGTTTGCCTGTAGTCAGCCAGCATGACATTAGAACCCCAAACCACATAGTCACAGAGGGTCTTCTTCTTATTTTTTCATTTGGTTAGCATTTCTAGAGAAATGGGGGAAAGAAAAGGTCTCCTTACATTGAGGAAGCCCACCTGTCCAGCTTGCTGACCGGCATCAGGACAGACAAGCTGGACGAATTCTTTCAGCGTCTCCTGAGGGTGGTAGCGGATGGCTGGGTGTGAGAAGTAAGGCCCAGGTTGCTGGATGATGGGTGATGTTGGAAAGTGGAGAGTCGATGGGGTCGCGTGTGGACTTGCTGCAGGAAACAGAACACAACACAACACATCAGGGTTATGGAGAACCCCGCTTTGCCACAGCTGAGCCAAACTCAGTCTCTCTTTTTCATTTCTCTTCCTGGCCCAGTTCACAATGCTGCCCATGTGACAGGATGTAGCATGGACAGTTCTGATGAATTTTCTTCTTTAAGGCTCTAAGACAAACATGGAGGTTAGAGTGGGATAGAATTTCAAGTTGCCTCTCTCTGTTCAGTGGACGTGAGTTATAAAGGCATTAATAACCCCTGTTGAAGATGAAGATTATTCATTACCTTAAGAGCCTTTTTAATGAAGCAAGCAATAAAAAATGTATTTGGTAGATTAGACCTGATTTAACCGACATTACATTTGACAAATTCTACTTTGCACATATGGATCCCCTTTCATGCCGAGCTACCCATAGATAATAATTCATTGTTAAAGCTCTTACACTCCTTTCAAGGAAATTTCTAGGGACTAATTCAGGACTAGAGTTTTTTGAAGTCTGTAGTAAATGATCACTTAATGAACCCATGCAATTTGGGTGCCTCGCTTTACAGTGGAAGGTTTATGTTGCATTTTTCTCTGTTGCCCTTTCAAAGCTAAAGCAGCAACAGGCTGAGTAGGCAGGAACTCTGTGAAAGGTTGCTTCTCTGCCATAAATCTGAGAAGAGATTCAGACAACAACTCCTTTATATTTGAACCCTGATAAATATCATTTGTACAAGATTACATTAGATAAAAAAGCTTATGCGAGATCTTAATAAGTCTTCCAGGAATGCTTTTGTCCTTGAATTGGAGAGATGATGATGTCCAAGACCTGGCAGAGGATAAGGGCTTCATGTGAGGGGCTGATAACACTTAGCCAAAGTCCAAGCAGACCAGAGAAGACTCCAGATAGGGGATATATATGCCTGCCCCACCCCTTCCTTTTACAGTTTAAAATTTTAAACTAAAGGGGATCCTACAAAGAGGAACACAGAAGTGCCCACAGTTTTAGAGAATATGACTTTCTGAATACCAAGAGAAATTCATAATATTGAAGACAATCCAAAGTTCAGTAGGCTCCCCTTTTCTCCCACCATCCCACTGGAAAGGCTAAGGAAGCCTGCCTACTGATGCTGGGGTCTCCTGAGGATTAGGGTATGTCCTTAATAATAATTTAAAGGGATAGGGCTATATGGGTCAGAGCAACCCTTGCAGTTTCTAGAGTAGAAATGCAGGCTGTAGTAGAAGCAGGACACCAATCCAGGCTTGCAGATAATCAGGCAGAATCATTATTTTCAGGCCATGTAAATCGATTTAATAACAATTTGCAGGCTCCCATTATGGTTTCAAGAGACAAAGATGGGTTGAACCAGAAAATGTTTTGCCCTCAATCATACAGCTGAGGACATTACAAAAATAATCTATTGAAATCAGAATTTTCTACACTCGCTCTCTTCAACTTACTCTTCAAGAGTTAAAGAGTTGAACGTTCCTGGATTGCTCTTCCCCTGGAAATTGTGCTACTGGATGTGTAGAATGAAACGATTTTTGTTTTCTTCTAGCATGATGTAGTTGTCTCTATTGGTAATAAGAGACGTTGACCAGAGCCCTGTTTTTGACAGAGTCATTTCTAGTTAGCATTGTAGGTGTTATTTCAGAAAAGTAGATGGGGTGTACTGAGCTGAACAAAATTGTAGACTCAACTGTTGCAGCATGTCAGACACAAAGGTGGCAACTCCATTGCCAAGGGCCCGGTGAGACTGACCTTGATGATAAGGTGGCACTGCCCCAGGTGCTCACAGAAAGTGATAAGTGTTTTAGATAAGGAATGGGGCTAGCCAGAAAGAGTATGCTACCCAAGGTGAAACACTAGCATGAGCAAAGAGTAAGTAGATAAAAGGTAAAGAAATAAAGCACCACTGCCATTCGCTCTCTATCTGAATTGTTACTAAACATCATTGAACTTATTTTATTAAAGATGTAAAAGGAAATCATTAGCAGCATAAATCTCGACTTTAATTTCTTTATTACATTTTAGCAATAGCAACTTATTCATCTTTTCCTTATGGTGCAGATTTCAGTGCAAACCTAAGAATATATGGTACTATATACAATTAATTCTATAGTGACTGATTGATTAGGACCAATTAATTCTTAATTAATTCCTGGAAATCATCTGGCCTGAACTTCTAAATCAGACATCTGCTGAGTCTGCATTTACAGGGCTGTCCTCTTCAAGCCTCTTTTCTCTTTCTGGGGACAGAGATCAGTTCACTGTAGACATGGAAGCAGATGGTTCTAGACAGTGACCTTTAATTTCCTCAGAAAGAAACCTGTGATAAATGTTACAAAGATCTGTTGATTACTATTGGATCCCTGGTGTTTCTCTGGATAATCCTTATCTTCTACTGGACACTGAGGACTGTTAAAAGTCTATAGCTAAGATTTAATCAATGTATTTTTTCTCTTTCCTCCTCTCTACTTCTTTTTTCCTTCCATTTTATCTTGGGTTTGATGTTCTAAGTGTACCTAAATTTTTATCTAAGTTGTTCCAAATCATTTTAGAAGGAGTCATTGGAGCGAAATCAATCTATCAATTAACTCATTAAATGTTCTTTGATGGCTAGAGCAAGCTTTATCGAAGAGAAACTACCATGATGAAGCTGGCATGATGTTAATGGAATGTACAGAGTGCTCAGAGTCCAAATTTTTGTTGAAGAGAAAAATCTCTTATGGATGTGTGTGTGTGAATAGTTGACACAATAAAAAATTATAGTACATTATGTGAATGCATATTTAGAACCTTTAAAATGTGCATTATTTACTTGAGAGTCAATAAAGCCTTTTCTCCAGTGGTTAGTTTATTGCAGAGCATCCATCTGGATCCATGCTGATATTAATACAATATTGTGAATTAAAAGATACTACCAAATTGGCTGCTTCTGGGGTCTAGTGCACTCAGGACCCCCAGGGCTAGGAGCAGCACAGTGTGTGTCAGGAACACTCCACTCTGAATGGCTGTCACTACTAGCTTAACCACTAACTAGTGGCCAACCTGGTTTACAACAAGAACTTGGGCTTTTCATGGGAATACAAACAGTATGGAAGGGAAGGAAGTGTGAATTTCCTACAGGTCTAGTAATTGCTTATGGTCAGGCAAATTGGCCTGGCCTACCCCCTCCCCAGACTCCAGAACTTTCTAATTATTTTGAAACTATCTCTTTTAATTTGAAGAAGAAAAAGAAGGGTAAAATCCAACATAACTAAACATGTATCCAACTTCCTTCTTTTAAATTAGAGTTGGACAAGACTGGGGAGGAGAAGCTAAGGCCATTACTGTGTAGTGGGGCACTAGATGTGACAGTGATCGTAGTCTCACAGCCCAGTGGAAGAAGGGACCTCTTGGACAACACTTGAGCTGTGTGCATGTGACCACCAACCACATAAAGAAAATGCCACTGGGATGGGTGGCCAGACCTTGTATCTTCATGCTTTATTAAAATCTTAGAAAAGGAAGCCATTGCTCCTCACAATTTCCAAGGGGTCTTCTGAAGACGAACCTTACAAATTCGAAGAACATATCCCTCTTTCCTAAAGCCAAAATGTCATGGGTTGAACCATGTTATTCTATGCAGCCCTGCCATTGCCCATATAGATTTAGTCCCTATTTGTGAACCGCTGTATATTCTCACAGCTTACACAGAAACATTAATTCACTTTTGCTTTTTGGCACCAGCCATCAGATCCTAGCCTGTCCTAGGAGAGGTTCTACAGGGAAGCTGTCTAGAGGTGAGAGAGCCATAAAATCTCTTCCTCCTTCGAGTGCAGCAAGCTTGAGGATAGAGGCTTCCTCACTGGCAAGAATGAAAGGCACCCCCAAGTCCAGAATCTGCCCCATTAATCACGAGGGGCAACAGGTGAGATTGTAAGTTGTTTCTTCTGCTGGACTGTCACAAGGAACTGTTATCCACTTGTCTGTAGTAGCTAAATATGCTCTTTTCAGAGACAGTGGCTTTGAGAACTCCTAACTACTCTTGCTTAGAAGTAAACCCCCACCCCCAAGGCAAAGCTCAAAAGGAGAAGAAATTATAAGAAAAAAATCCCACTTAAAATTCAAAAGCCTTCCACAAGGGCAAACGGAAGTTGTATTGTTTGGGTTGTCAACTACTGAGCTTCTTAAGAAATTCTAAACCAACACTATACAGCCCCACTACAGCCTACCTGAAGCTGAGAAATCTATCTTAATGGCCCACAGCTATAATTGATAAATCATGCATGAATCAGGCCTGCCATTTACGAAAGCTGAGAAGTTTGGAGCTGTGTGATTTATGTTAACAGACATAGGGAGGGAGGAATTAGAACTGGTACTCAGGCCCTTAAGAGGCCGAGCCTTTTCTAAGTAACAAAGCATGTGACTCATCAAGCTGAGGTTCTTCAAATTCTTTTCCAGGGCTCTCAGTCCACACCTTAAGTGTCACCGAGAAGCATGTGAGAGGCACAAGAGAAAGCATCCCATCGCGTGATGCCAAGCAAAACGGCAGCGTTTTTGTGTTAGCGATGCAGATATGGTAACTGCTACAGCTTCCAAGCTGGTGATGAGTGACTCTACTCAAACAAAAGGCATCTTCTGACTGGAGATCAGAGTACATGTCTCTTGGAAAAACAAGAGTTCCACTCCTCCAATAAAGAGAGGCCGATGATGGTTTACGTTATTATCTACACTCATTGTAACTATATAAAAGTTCATGTTTCTCCCGACTCCACAAAGTTGTCCTCTGGCCTTCACAGGTAGGCTGTGGTTCCCATGTGACCCGTCCCCCATATCATACAAACAAACAAACAAACAAATAAAAAGCCACAGCATCTGGAGAAAAAGTTCTGTGTTTCTCAAAAGCTCTGGCATCTGTTCTGGAAGAGGAATGGATACTCCAGTCTGTAGAGGATATTTTGAAGGTCTGTGGTAACAGTCTACTCTGTGCTACAGAAGTGACTACAGATATGCCATTAACAAAAG